AGAACAGCTCGCAGGATTGTGAGAAAAACAATTCAAAACCCACGTTTGACTGCATGATCCCTCCAGAAAGATCTGGCAGACACTGGAGTTGTGGTACACTATTCCACTATAAAAAGATATTTGTACAAATATGGTCTTCATGGAAGAGTCATCAGAAGAAAACCTCTTCTATGTCCTCACCACAAAAATCATCGTTTGAAACAAGTTCTGTGGACCGATGAGGTTAAAATTGAACTTTTTGGCCGGAATGAGCAAAGGTACGTTTGGAGAAGAAGGGGCACAGAATTTAATGAAAAGAACCTCTGTTCAACTGTTAAGCATGGGGTTGGATCAATCATGCTTTGGGGTTGTGTTGCAGCCAGTGGCACAGGGAACATCTCACGAGTAGAAGGAAAAAATGGATTCAATAAAATTTCAGCAAATTTTGGATGGTAATTTGATGCCATCTGTGAAAAAGCTGAAGTTAAAGAGAGGATGGCTTCTACAATTGGATAATGATCCTAAACACACCTCGAAATCCACGGGGGATTACATCAAGAGGCGTAAACTGAAGGTTTTGCCATGGCCTTCACAATCTCCTGACCTCAACATAATTGAAAATCTATGGATAGACCTTAAAAGAGCAGTGCGTGACAGACAGCCCAGAAATCTCAAAGAACTGGAAGACTTTTGTAATGAAGAATGGGCAAAGATACCTCAAACAAGAATTGAAAGACTCTTGGCTGGCTACAAAAAGCGTTTACAAGCTGTGATACTTGCCAAAGGGGGCAGTACAAGATATTAACTCTGCAGGGTGCCCAAACTTTTGCAGACGCCATTTTTTTGTTTTCTGTTATTTTGAAAGTGTAAATGATGGAAATAAAATCTAACTTTTGTTGACATATTATAAGAATGTCTAATCTGTAATTTGATGCCTTTTGGAGATTTTTCCATCTTTCCTTGGCTTCTTTATGCACATTAATACAAATTTTTAGCTGGGGTGCCCAAACTTTCGATCCCCACTGTAGATCGAATCTTTGAACCATCTATGGCAGGGGTGTCAAACTCCCATTTCATTGCAGGCCATATAAGCATTAAGGTTGCCCTCAAAGGACCAGTAGTATCTGTAAGACTAGATGTCCAGAGCACCCCACCCCCCATTACATCAGATGTCAAGAAGCCCACACCCTCCCTAACATCACCGTGCACCCCCTTTGGGGGCAGAGCTGGAAAGCAGAAAGTGCAGGGTCTGGAGGAGGACCAGAGAAGGAGTGGAGTCAGTTATCAGAGTCTGCTGAATGCTGAGACCAGGGGAGGCAGAGATGAGGGAGTGCTGCAGCTGCACTGAGAGGTGCAGCATTTGGCAGAGGAGTTCTACTCTCTTCTCTGCTTCCGACTGCTGAGACAAGATGGGGGCAAAAGACAAAGGAGTACCTGCAGGACAGGTGCAAGGGCCACATGAAATGGCCTGGAGGGCCAGATTCGGCCCATGGGCTTTGTGTTTGACACCTGTGATCTATGGGCAGGCTGGTTGCAATGAAGTCGATTCATTGATTGACTTCAGTAAAACCACTCTGATGGACTTTTTCATGCTTTTTGTTTGTAAATTAAAGGGTCTCTTTTCACAAATTCGTGCAAATGTTATCACTAAAAGGGTGCACTGTTTTTAATCCAACCTAAATACACTGATGAAAACCTTTGACCTGGACAGTGACCCTGGACCCTGATACTAACTTAACCCCAATCCAGCTAAGTGTATCTTTATTTTCTTATTTATTTGTTTTCATTCATTTATTTTTACACACAGAATGATATTTTTTTTGTTGTTTACACTTTTCTCTTCTTACTATGAGAAAATGATACATTGTATCTTTTTCTCCATTCATGGTAGAAAAACAGTATAATGGCAGGTTTTATTGAGCGATCACTTTGATAGCCAATCATGATTGAGGGTTGGTCCACCCGATTCCTGTACATTAGTAAAGCCATAGATGGTTTGAATCTCAGCAGGGACCAGCTGAGATTCGAACCATGTATGGGCAGGGTTACTGTACCCAAGTTGATCGATCAATCGATCAACTTGGGTACAACCAGCCTGTCAAAATTTACATGTGATTATTGCTAGCAATTATACCCACTGCCAGTAATCACCGTGTTCCCCCAGCGGGGACGGCTCCCCAAAATAGTCTATAGGAGATCCTTTAACCACCTCCCGCCTGCCATATAAGGAAATGATGGGAGGGCGGTGGTTCTCTCGTTCTGGGAGGACATCATATGACGTCCTCCCAATCTAACTCTAACTGCGGGACACAGAGGATCACCGATCAGTGGAAAGAGCCGATAATGTCGGCTCTGTCATGTGATCAGCTGTGTCCAATAACATCTGACCGCACGTAAATAAGAAAATGCTGGTTATCGGCAGTCCTCTCCTTCCGCTGAAGCATGAGGAGAGGAGAGCCGGTAAGCGGCATTCTTCAGAGGGGACATGTACACTGATCATCAGGGCACTGATGCTCAGTGCTCTGATGATCAGTGTAGCCCCATCAGCGCCACCTGTCAGTGTCCATCAATGCCACCTGTCAGTGCCCTTTAGTGCCACATATCAGTGCCTACCAGTGCACATCAATGCTACACATCAGTGCCGCCCATCTGAGCTGCCTTTCAGTGCTACCTATCAGTGCCAGTCAGTGCCACCTAATGCTGCCCATCAGTGCCAGTGAGTGCTGCCTATCAGTGCCATATATGAGTGCTGCCTTTCAGTGCTCATCAGTGATGCCTGACAATGCCCATCAGTGCCACCTACCAGTGCCTCCTCATCAGTGCCTATCAGTGCCCATCAATGCAGCCTCATTAGCACACATCAGTGAAGGAGAAAAATTACTTACTTACAAAATTTTATAACAGTTTCCTCAGTTTTTTCAAAACTTCTAGTTGTGTTTTGGTTTGTTTAGCAAAAAATAAAGAACCAGGAGGCGATTAAATACCACCAAAAGAAAGCTCTGTCTCAAAAAAAAATCATAAAATTCTCATATGGGTACAGTGTTGCATGACTGCGCAATTGTCATTCAAAGTGCGACAGCGCTGAAAGCTGGAAATTAGCCTGGGCAGGAAGGGGGTAAAAGTGCCCGGTAGGCTAGTGGTTAAAAACGTTACAACTCATCAGTCAAGAGCTCACCATAAATGTTGGCCCTAAAATTATTCTTCTCATGCTGTCAAGCACAACCATACCCAATATGTGTAAAGCAACTGACATTAAAGTGTTACTAAACCCACAACAGTAAAATCAATCTGTATATGCAGTAAAGCATGCTTGTTCTATCTACTGTGGAACCTAAGGGCTTAATCCTCTGCATTGTGTAAAAACGCAGTTTGATCCTATCTTCTCTGGTCCTTTCCTTCTTCCAGTGTCCCCCTCTTACCTCCTGATAAGATTTATTGTGTGGAGTCACTCTGCACATGCTCAGTTTGCTGTGTATTGCTGGAGAGGTTTTTCTTCTTGGTAGAGTGCATTTGACCAGCACAGGGCCAATCAGCCCTGTCCAGACAGAGGTCAGGGTTCCTGCATCTTCCTAGAGCAGAATGAAAAACTCCTCCTACAAGCTTTAACCAGTGCTCAGCTGGACACTGATAGAAGTCACAAGACTGCTCTAACTGCTGATGAGAAAAGGTATTTAGCAGTTAATATTTACTAAAATAATTGCACTAATGTGGGAAACCAGATATAGTAAATGCAGGGTCCGGGGTTTAGTAACACTTTAAGGCTAGGTTCACAACAGAATGCAGTGCAGGAAACCCACGGTCTGTGTATTTCCTGCACCGCATTCAAAATGCCCTGTAGTTGTGCTCTGCAGGGGGTGTCAATGTTCAGTTACTGACACCTCAAACGCAGGTTGCAGATTTAGTGCGTTTGCCTGCACCAGATCGCATTTACCGAATTTTTCGCTCCATAAGATGCACTCCCCCCCCCCCCAAAAAAAATGGGGGAAAATGTCTGTGCATCTTATGGAACAAATATGAAGCAGCCGGCCAAGTATTCCCACCGCCGCCGTGTTAGAATATCGGGTCGCAGCAGAACCTGCTCCTCGGTCCAGCATTGTCTTCACCGTCTTCTCTCTCTGGCACAGGCATCTTTAGTGTGGGCACTCGGCTGTGACAGCTTGCGTCTTCACAGCTGGGTGCCCACTGCACATGCTCGAGAAGCGCTGCACTTTGTGAATGGCCCGCAGTCTTCTGGGACCTGTTATGTGTCCCAGAAGACAGGGAGGCAGGACAACTGCACGGAAGTGGGAGTGGGTACCTGTCAAAGTTGGGTACCCACTCTGCCCCCCAGTTCCACTCCCTAAATGTCCACAGTCTCTGGTCATCTCCCGTACTACATCCACAGTCTCTGGACATCTCCCGTACCGTGTCCGCAGTCTCTGGTCATCTCCCGTACCGTGTCCGCAGTCTCTGGTCATCTCCCGTACCGTGTCCGCAGTCTCTGGTCATCTCCCGTACCGTGTCCGCAGTCTCTGGTCATCTCCCGTACCGTGTCCGCAGTCTCTGGTCATCTCCCGTACCGTGTCCGCAGTCTCTGGTCATCTCCCGTACCGTGTCCGCAGTCTCTGGTCATCTCCCGTACCGTGTCGTCCGCACTCTCTGGTCATCTCCCGTACCGCGTCCGCAGTCTCTGGTCATCTCCCGTACCGCGTCCGCAGTCTCTGGTCATCTCCCGTACCGCGTCCGCAGTCTCTGGTCATCTCCCGTACCGCGTCCGCAGTCTCTGGTCATCTCCCGTACCGCGTCCGCAGTCTCTGGTCATCTCCCGTACCCGCGTCCGCAGTCTCTGGTATCTGTCCCGTACCGCGTCCGCAGTTCTCTGGTCATCTCCCGTACCGCGTCCGCAGTCTCTGGTCATCTCCCGTACCGCGTCCGCAGTCTCTGGTCATCTCCCGTACCGTGTCCGCAGTCTCTGATCATCTCCCGTACCGTGTCCGCAGTCTCTGGTCATCTCCCGTACCGTGTCCGCAGTCTCTGGTCATCTCCCGTACCGTGTCCGCAGTCTCTGGTCATCTCCCGTACCGTGTCCGCAGTCTCTGGTCATCTACTGTACCGTGTCCGCAGTCTCTGGTCATCTCCTGTACCTTGTCCGCAGTCTCTGGTCATCTCCTGTACCGTGTCCGCAGTCTCTGGTCATCTCCTGTACCGTGTCCGCAGTCTCTGGTCATCTCCTGTACCACTGTCCGCAGTCTCTGGTCATCTCCTGTACCGTGTCTGCAGTCTCTGGTCATCTCCTGTAACATGTCTGCAGTCTCTGGTCATCTCCTGTACCATGTCCGCAGTCTATGGTCATCTACCATACTAAGTCCGCAGTCTCTGGTTACCTCCTATACTATGTCCGCAGTCTCTGGTCATTTCCTGTACTATGTCTGCAGTCCTCTAAAACCTTGGTACATCTTATAGTCAGGTGCGTCTTATGGAGCGAAAAATACGGTAATTTTATTGCTACCACATGGGGCTGATGAGCCTCAATATGATATTAATAACATTGTGACAGGCACCCTTTTATGGAGACAAAAATTAATTAAACTGAATGGGCCTCCTCACCTCAACACATGAAAATGTAGTGCAGGCTGGATCTTTTGCAGCACACTGCAATGCACAGAGTGAGTTGTGGTGTGCTGTATTGCACTGCAGGCGCATTGTATAGGCGCATTGTATAGGTGCATTGTATAGGCGCATTTGTAGAGGGGCATTGTATAGATACATTGTATAGGCGCATTGTACAGGTGCATTGTATAGATACATTGTATAGGTGCATTGTATAGATACATTGTATAGGTGCATTGTATAGATACATTGTATAGTATTGTAGGTGCATTGTATAGGTGCATTGTATAGGTGCATTGTATAGGTGTTGTATAGATACATTGTATAGGTGCAGGTGCATTGTATAGATACATTGTATAGGTGCATTGTATAGATACATTGTATAGGTGCATTGTATATAGATACATTGTATAGGTGCATTGTATAGATACATTGTATAGGTGCATTGTATAGATACATTGTATAGGTGCACTGGGTTGTCTCTGAAGATGAATGGAATTCGAGTGCAGCAACACATGTATAGTATGATACTGCATGCCGTGGTAATGCACACATTTTAGCACAGTGGTGTGGATGGACCCCAACAATGGTATAGAGTTTTTCCTTTGGGACTTTTATTCCCCCAGTTTGATTAAATGAAACATTAAGTATAAGACTTACAATATTCATTGATGCTTCCGGGTCTGCTGTATAGAAGAATCCGCCATCTATACTTCTGATATTCCGGTCCAGGGAGTGTACGTTAATCGTGAGTATAAATAATATCGCTGTTACCAACTGCCACATCTTCTGACTAGAAAAGAAAAAAATAATTTTGTGTTCTATTATATAATTATTCTAAACTCTGACAGGCTTTGAAAGAACGTTCAGGATGACGGTAGGAACAGGTCACATATTTGGAAGTCATTTTTTGTTCCATGTAAAACCTAACTGTGAGTAGCAGCCCCACTGACTTACACCCCGGTCACATAGGGTACAACTTGGCATGTGAACTGCATGCCATGCGACTTGCAAATCGTATGCCACGTCGTACCCTATTGTCTGCAATTCCAGCGGTCATATCAGTGCGGTTCCCACTTGGTCGGAGCCGCACTGATTTCTAAAGTAGTGCATGCACTTCTTTTGGTGCGATTTGCATAGAAATCTGTGTCAGACGTCTTACAAATCACGCCTGAAATCGCCATGTCCCCCGACTTTGAATTTGTGCGACTTCACTGCAAGTCGCACAATTTCAAAGTCAGGCTTGATGTGACCGGGGGGTTAAAGTGGTTGTAAAGCTCAGACATGAAATATGACCAAAGCAAATCCCTCTATAGTGTGTACTTGTCTCAATTAGGAGCACTAAGTGTAATTTCCGTCTTCTGCTTTGTCCTTCTATCTGCATTAATCATGTCTAACAGGTTTTCCTGACACCAAGAGGACAAACACGTTGACGGGGAGGGAGCTCCAGCACACAGCCTATGACTGACAGCTTCAGCTCTGTTCCTGTGTGAAGGGGGGGGAGCATGCCTCCCCTTCAATCAGCTCCCAGAACTCTCCTCACTGAGCTCTTCAGTGTGTAATTTCAGCCCCCTTACCCACCCCCATTTTCTGAAAGCTCAGGCAAGCTTTATAGTTTCTGATCTTTGAACAGATGTAGAGAAGATACTGTAGATAAACAGGTACACCTTATGTAGGATGCTTTGTTTCATCTCTGTGTATCACTTCACTGGGTATATGTAAGGGTTTACAACCACTTTAAAGCAGAATTCCAACCAAAGCTTTTTTGGTACAGAGAAAACTTAGAGGTTCTGTCAGATTCTAAAGGTTTTAAACAAAATTAAAATATGCTCCCACGTAATGAAATAAAAAATATGCATTTCTAAGCATTGCAATCATGATCAGCACATTGGTGCAAAGCCTTGTTTCCTGCAGACGATTCCTCCAGCCCCAGGTCTGCATGGCGTTATGGATAATTCATGTTGCACTCATATTGAGGACTAGTGGAAATAATCAATGGACTACATGTGTGGTGATGTCACCGCATGCCCCTGCATGACTTGTGATTTGAAATGATCAAATCGCATGACAAGTTGCTCCGGAATCTAAAAGGTACACAAAATGACCCTACTTATTTTATCCCAACATTCCGGCAGCTTCCTTCAAAACGCACAACTGGTTTCCTCCAAGCTGCTGCTCTTCAGTCACAGTCACACTCTGATGTCATCACATACAATGCAGGGACAGCAGTCCTGCTTTCTACGGCCTTGTTTACACCGGTGTACTTCCAGCGGAACTCCACCCTATGTCCTCCCCCAAACTCTTCTACGTTTTTTTTTGGGGGGGGGCTGAATGGGTACCTGCATTTGACGGGTTTGACGGATACCTGTTCCCAGTTCGGATCGCTGTGGCAATTCCACCGGAGACACAGCTGGATCCAACAGTAAACATGGCGGCGGCGGTGACCTGAAGACCGACAAAGAACCGGCCCAGGTGAGAACGGCGCTGGTTTCCTGGACAGGTAAGTGTCCTTTTATTAAAAGTCAACAGATACAGTGTTTGTAGCTGGTGACTTTTAATTTTTCTCACACAGACTGAGGTGCCTCTTTAAGGGCCAGTTCACACTACATGCATTTCAGTTGCTTTTTCTTCATCCAAAACGCACAGAAAGTAGGATATATGGTTGTCAATGTCATAGTTCACATCAGTGCTTGCAGTTCCAGTGCGGTTTTTGATGCTTTCCAGTACATTTTTTCCCTCTCTTTTTCTTCAAGTTAAAATAGGGACATGTGTGTTTTTGATGCGTTTTACTGCGTTCCAGTACAGTTCTGCAGCCTGTTCTTTTTTTTTTGCCTGCAAGTGGAATGCACTGGAACTGCAAGCGCTGATGTGAACTATGACATTGACAACCATATAACCTACTTTCTGTGCGTTTTGGATGCAGAAAAAAAAGCGTAGAAACGTAGTCTGAAGCGTTTCGGATGAGTTTCTGCATGCGCATTTTTGGCACGCTCTGGTGCGTTTTTGATGCTTTGCAGTTCATTTTTCCACTCTCTTTTTCTTGAACTTAAATAGGGACATGTGGGTTCCAGTGCGTTTTTGATGTGTTTTATCGCGTCCCAGCGCATTTCTGTGCAGGAAAAATGTAGCCTGTTCTACTTTTTTTTTCTGCAACTGAAACGCACTGGAACTGCAAGCACTGATGTGAACTATGACATTGACAACCATATAACCTACTTTCTGTGCGTTTTGGAAAAAAAGCACAGTGAAACGCATGTAATGTGAACTGGCCTTTAGCGTGCACCCGTGTAGGGCCATGTTTTGCATGCATGGGATGTGCAGGTGTTCCATGCATCCAAGTGCAGGCAGCTCCATTCACGTCATCTGTGACGCAGCAGTGGCATGGACACAGCTGCTGCTCCCAGTTTGACAACAACATAGGTGTGGGTCCCCAAACTGACACTGTCCGCATTCTGGGACCCCCGGTCCCTGGAATGAGGGAGAAGGGAAGTATAACTGCTTTCATGCCCCCACCCTGCAGTTTAACCCTTCCAGTGCTTGAGAAGTCCTACTGCAAGGTTCTTTTTTTATTCTCCCCGGAGTTCACCTTTAAGTCAGAAACGAAACAATCTACTGCCTGTGGGTTTGATTCGCTGCCAGAATCCTGCTGATTGTGAAATCGCACCTGGGCAATAAAATAACAGCTTCACTACAGCCTAAGCCTTGGTTCACACCTAGGCATTTTTAGTGTGTTTTGCAGAAATGCACTCCAGTCCATTTAACATGGTTTCCTATGGATGTAGGTCACATTTTTGTGTTTTGAGCCGATGCGTTTTTTTGGAAAGAGTCAGGGGCTTTTTTTTCCCGCTGCAGATTATGTGTAATAGACTTCAATGGACTCGTTTTTGATGCATTTTTTTTCCTAGTGGGAAAGTATGACAGTTCTGTTCATGTGTAAGGTAAGGGGGGAGAGAAAGTCACTCAGAACCAGCCCCAGGAGTCCAGCGTGTCGAGTGACCTCAGCACCGCACTAGCCACGCCCTCTGCTGTGTTTCGCCCTGCCCATTGGGGCTTGGTCACAGAGTGCCTCTATTGATTGTATGGAGTGACCTCAGTACCACACCAGCCACGCCCTCTGCTGTGTTTCGCCCTGCCCATCGAGGGTTGGTCACAGAGCGTTTCTGTATATTATATGGAGTGGCCTCAGTACCGCACTAGCCACACCCTCTGCTGTGTTTCGCCCTGCCCATCGGGGCTTGGTCACAGAGTGCCTCTGTTGAGTGTATGGAGTGGCCTCAGTACCACACCAGCTACGCTCTCTGCTGTGTTTCGCCCTGCCCATCGGAGCTTGGTCACAGAGTGCCTCTATTGATTGTATGGAGTGGCCTCAGTACCACACCAGCCACGCCCTCTGGTGTGTTTCGCCCTGCCCATCGAGGGTTGGTCACAGAGCGTTTCTGTATATTGTATGGAGTGGCCTCAGTACCGCACTAGCCACACCCTCTGCTGTGTTTTCGCCCTGCCCATCGGGGCTTGGTCACAGAGTGCCTCTGTTGAGTGTATGGAGTGGCCTCAGTACCACACCAGCTACGCCCTCTGCTGTGTTTCGCCCTGCCCATCGGGGCTTGGTCACAGAGTGCCTCTGTTGAGTGTATGGAGTGGCCTCAACATTGCACTAGTCATGCTCTCTGATGCGTTTCGCCCTGCCTATCAGGGGCTTGGTCACAGAGCACCTCTGTTGAGTGTATGGAGTGGCCTCAGTACCACACCAGCTACACCCTCTGCTGTGTTTCGCCCTGCCCATCGGGGCTTGGTCACAGAGTGCCTCTGTTGAGTGTATGGAGTGGCCTCAACATTGCACTAGTCATGCTCTCTGATGCGTTTCGCCCTGCCTATCAGGGGCTTGGTCACAGAGCACCTCTGTTGAGTGTATGGAGTGGCCACAGTACCGCACTAGCCACACCCTCTGATGCGTTTTGCCCTGCCCATCGGGACTTGGTCACAGAGCGCCTCTGTTGAGTGTATGGAGTGGCCTCAATGCTGCACTAGCCATGCTCTTTGGTGTGTTTCGTCCTGCCCATTGGGGCTTAGTCACAGAGTGCCTCTGTTGACTGTATGGCGTGGCTTAGCACCGCACTAGCCATGGTCACTGATGCGTTTTGCCCAGCCCATCGGGGCTTGGTCAGAGTGCCTCAGTTGAATGTATGGAGTGGCCTCAGAACTGCACTGGCCATGCTCTAATGCATTTCACTCTTCCCATTGGGGCTTGGTCACAGAGTGCCTCTATGACCAAGCCCTGATGGGCAGGGTGAAACGCATCACAGAGAGTGGCTAGCGCAATGCTGAAGCCACTCCATGCACTGGTTCTGAGCGGCATCCGTTCCCCCTTATGTTACTCTAGATACTGGAATGAACCAAGGCCGCTGCTCCCTTTATTCCTATGTTGGTGGGGTGATCATTTTCTGTGAATCCAGCTTTGGAACGGCGCCTTTAAGCTTCACACAGTTCTGTTGATGTTGTGCGACTTTGATGCAATTTTACACTCTCTGGCACTCAAGTCGCATCAAAGTAGTGCAGAAACCTTTGTGTCCAAAGTCACATGTTAGGGTTATGGGTAAGGGCCAAGGTTAGGGTTAAATGATAGAATTAGCGGTAATTGTTAAAACGCTAACCTTAATTATTACCGCTCACCCTGACAAGTACCGCTCACCCTGACGAGTACCGCCCACCCTGACGAGTACCGCCCACCCTGACGAGTACCGCCCACCCTGACGAGTACCGCCCACCCTGACGAGTACCGCTCACCC